CAGAAAATACCATAAAAATGACAATTTAAAATATCAGGGTTGCTTCATATAACAAATAGAAAAGTGGAAAAAGATTACTTTTTGAGTTACTACATCTACCTTCCAATGAATTTATGATTGCTTGCACAACCATAGGAAGTATTAAGCAGAGCAATAGCTTTCACATTCCTTTTTCCAACACATACTAAGGCTCAGATGAAGCTTATAATCTATTTTACTCATTTCCAAGGGTAAACAAAATATTGGGTTAAGTTTTATGAATGATTTTTCATGTGGAGCTCTGTAAAACTACTGGGATTATATACGCCATCTTGTTAAGGTGAGGCAGACAATTAAGGATTTTTCAGATAACAAGACAGGACAATAACACTTAGCATTTAAGTCATTAACATGTACATTAGTATAGTAGAAATCAAATGCAATACTTTATACATTTCTGTTTTAATTTATAAGCCAGGGAGTTATTGACAGTTACTAACTCTGCACATTATCGTTAAGTTACTAAAACATCCTGCCAATCAAGTCACAGTTATCCACTACCGTACTCCCAATTCATCTTCTATCTTTTATCACCAGATTTTTTTCTCAAAAAAGAATCCATGAACCAAAACGAATAGCTGTTCTGTTATCTAGGATTCAACAATTAGCAAAGCAACGAGTCATACTGCTTTAAAATTATTTTGTAGTTTGCACCAATTCTTTATTTGGAAGTGAACTGCAATGCCGTTATACTATTCAACAGTCACGTAACTGAAGACTTAGGAGTTAAGTGCTACTCAAACCACAGTAAGACAGGGGAGAGCGCTTTTTCCTTGTTGGAAAGATCACCAGGATTTCAAAACTTGACATGTTTTATGCTGTTCATAACAGGTGGAACAGCATAAAATCAAGTAATTGTGTAACGTACGTAAATGTTACATGTTTTCTTGCTATATACAGGTATCATTTCAGTAACCATCACTTGTTTTGAGACTGCAGACCAAAACATCTACTAGTAGAAAACTGTTGTTTCAGATACTCTTTTTCATTTAATTCCTAATGCAGAATGTAGAGCATTTAAGTTAAATATAGCCCCAGACTTTCACTGAAACAAAAATTATGAGCAAGTTCTTTCTAGTGTTGGAAGAGACAAGAAAACCAGTGAGTTAGCAACTATCAGACCTCTTTGGCTGTCAATCAGCAGCCAGAAGCTGAAAGACCGAATTCTTTCTGCTGGAATGATTTATTGCCTCCACAGTTTCTTGTTCCAGGCAAGGCTGTTTCAGGCTGCTCCCAAGAGTTTTTGCTTGCCATAATATAAGTAAGATTAGGACTTTCATAAACACACTACTACTCAAGTCAAAGTTAGTCTGACATTTTATTTTCTAGTATACAAGATAGGGCATAAAGCATTCAGGATCTTCTGACTTCATAAAAAAAATATGCTGAAGTGTTTTTTTTTTCTCCTTCTTGTTAAAGCTTATCAGTACTAACACAGGATTTTTTTGTTGTTGTTAGTTTAAATCTAAACAGTGTGAGATGGAGCGAAATTCTGGCCATATATCTTTCAAGAGTGTTCATTGAAATATTAACATAATCACGTTCAAGAGAATAATCTGTGTAAGTGCTCTTCCAAAAGATGGCTGAGTATTCCTAACTGGAAGCAAATTGCAGTGGCATCACAGGACAAGGAAAAAGGAATTCAAGTACATTGAGGTCCCAGGGGATAACTTTAAAGGAGACTCTGAACATGACTGATTCCTCTCCATTAAGCTAGAATTTCACAAATGCAGATTTTCTCCAGGGGACTGAAAGTGCGCATCTCTTATGTAATACACTTCAACAGAACTAAGTGAGAGTCACCATGTGGTTGGGATTCAAAATTTCAATCCAGTAGCCATCAGGATCCTGAACAAATGCAAGTCCTTTCATTTTACCTATTAGAAAAAAACAAAACAAGATAGAGTTAAGACTACATGACAAGTTCTTAATGTCAGATATGACTACCTTGAAAATTATTTTTCCTTTTTTTCCTTTTGCATGACAATCAGTTCAAATTTAGACAGCTAATTCTGAAAACATACAGATTGGTTTTTAATCAGCATTAGATTGTTGTATGCTAAATTGTCAATCTGACTCTCAACAAAGCTGTAGTTTAAAGTAACTCTGAAATTCTATCTTTTGTTGATTGAAATAAGTTTTCTGCTTATGCCCCTGTAAGCATTCAGCCTCTAAGTTCAGAAAAACATTTTTGTGCTCCAGGATGTTTTGACATATATTTTTGAACTGGCTTTGCCAGTATAAAATCCTGCGCTCCTCTGCCCTGTTAATCTCCCATCATTGCTGAAGTTTTACGTTACTGGTTTTTGTTTGGTTTTCTCCCCTCTGTGTGGTTTACAGTACACATTTGCATCACTTCATAAAACACAGATATGTTTTAAATTTTAGGAATGTTTTAAATTTTACTGTTGGAAAAACTATTACTCATTAAAACAATGTCCCCAAAAGTTGTCTTCGATAGTGTATCAGGATAACACAGCTTAACACATTATCTTAAAGTGTTAACCACACATTTTTAATTATACTTGCCCTATTAGGCTATTTACTGTAACAGAACCAACCTAACTCTAAATATATTACAGTTGCAAAAACTTCTGAGAGAATAGTAGATGTTTGATTCAGTAATATAGGGGGAAAAAAAAATAACATTAAGCCTCTTAGCCTGCTCCACAATGAACGTGAAGTCCAAAACTTTTTCTTCCTCCTTGGCATTTGCTGTATCTATTTTATTTCTTAATGTTACAAAACAGCTTTTGCTCTCCCTCCTTCCCTCTTGACTGTTTCAAGAGTTCTCTCCTATGACTTACTCCATTCACAGTCTAAGCTTCCCCTCCTGTGTACTTAGAGCTGTGCAGTGATACAGAATCAGTTAGGAGCTCTCACTTCAACTCTCTCAAGGTTCAACAGGGGCTCAGGAACTCTAAAATGCTAGAAATACTAAGTTTAATTCTTAAATCAAGAATTCTGTGTTCGAGTTAAGTTTTCAGCAACATTTCTTACATTTTCTTCAGCTAAGAACACAGTGAATATGACAAAAATCACTTAAGTCTCTTTTCCATTATTTGTTCTTATTCCCCAAGCACGGAATCTAGATCAATTCCAACATGTATAAACTGAAGGTTCATGTAACAGTGTTACTTTCAAACTAAAAAATCACGCACCGTTAGTACAAGCAAGTGTCTAGTTTCTATAGCCAGAAGAAAGAAGGATCACAGATTTGAGCATGCTGCTGAGTATTAGATGTCTGTTTTGGAACACATCGGTTCTAAAAATGTCATGAGGTCTCTTCATGAAAGAGAACTCAGTTGAAAAATACAAGACTTCTCACCACTGATTTCTGCATCTTAGGCTATTTTGACATTGACATTGTTTATGTACTCTCTAGACATTTGAATTATGAATATTGGATGTATATAGAATTATGCATTCTTCACTAAAAGTTACACGAGTCAAATATCATATAGACTAATGAGGCTATTCCTACCAAAGCTGACAGAACAGTTAAAATGGTAATAGCTAGTAGGTGGCATTAGGTGGATTTAAGTAAAAATAGCCAGAAAAGTCAAGAATTACTCAGGTTTAATAGGTGGGAGTAATCATGTCTTCCACGTCATCTTATCTTTATATGATAAGAACCAAACAGATGTAAAACGTGTGAATTTGATTCATGTTAAAAGTAAATTCTGTAACAACTCCAGGCAGTAGTATACACAGTAAATAAACTATGACATGAACAGAGCATGTGAATTTTAGTGAAGGTCAGACTACATACAGAAGGTATGTACCTAGACTAACTATTGTTACCGAGATGGATCTATTATCAGTTTTGCCCACTGAGTAAAAAACAGTGCAGGCGTAACCAGTTCTAGCACCTTTTAAGCAGTGACAACTACTAGAAATATATTACCCCAGGTTTCCAGGAAGATCTACTAGACATATTAAAAAGAAGGAAAAAACAAAAAACAAACAGAAAAAACAACTCACGTTTTTGATCAAGACTTACCATCATCTGGTTTCTTCACAAATTTCACTCCTAGTTCTTCAAACCTCTTACAAGCTTTATAGACATCGGGGACAGCAATTCCAATGTGTCCTGTGCAACAAGGTAAAAAGAATGAAGTACACTCTAAGTATTGCTGGGTGTTCTAGGAAAAAGCCTGCTCAGTATTTCATTTTGTGCAAAAAGTTTACATGCTGTAGTTCATATAAGATACAATTGTATAGAAGGAAAACATGGCTTCCAGAAAGAGCAGCATTTTGGATATTAACGTTATTCTCCTGCAGAAAGTTGGCTTTTTGATAATGCCTTTTAAAATAGGAACTTTAGAGTTAAAATATATTGTTTAGAGGAGAATATTATCTAGAGCAGGAAAAAATAAGATTTTCTATCAACCTGTTCTATCTGTATTTCCTTTCTTGAAGCATGTCCACGTAACAGGATTTTGTTGCATTTGCTCAGTTCAACAGCACAAGGAGTTTATCATTAATGCTGTATTTGCAGAGACTAACACCAGCACTAGGCAAGGCCTGAGCTTACAAATCAATTCAGAAGCTTTAAATGTCAAGAGGCTAGATCGAGTATGAAACTTATTTCACAAGTGAGTGACCTTTCAAGCACTCAAAATATCAAATCGAGCCACACAAATACTATCCTCAGTGCTACAGACAAACAGAATCGTCCTTTTAGCTTAAAATGGTTAACCAGTGGATTAAAAACAGAAATCCAAACGTACATCAGTTTAAACACCATGCTAATATGATACACAAGAGCAATCACTCTGTTAAAAGTTCTTCATTCAGTAGTTACTATTAGCATATGTTTGCTTGCCAAAGGATTAGGCTCTATTTATAAACTGTAGCTCTTTACCCTGAAACACATTTGTTTACCTATTTTCATGATCTTTCACAGCATACATGCTGGAAGAAGAGAGAGAAAGGATGAGATGCAAGTTCCTTTCTTTTCCTAGTGCTGGTAAGTTTTCTTCAAAGTAACCTACTAGGAAAGTCTTTTAATCCATACAAGTTTAAAATATTTTCTCTACTAATTCTCATAAAAACAAAGCCTACAGCATATTGTTAGGTTGCCCAGAGAAGTTGTGGATGCCCCATCCCTGGAAGTGTTCAAGGCCAGGTTGGATGAGGCTTTGAGCAACCTGGTGTAGCGGAGGGGTTCCCTGCCGATGGCAGGGGGGTTGGAACTAGATGATCTTTGAAGTCCCTTCCAACCCAAACCATTCTGTGATTCTATATATGTACCCAATAACATTTGCACAGAATTTATATAGATGTTTTCTAAAGAACACTTGAAACTCCATTTTCTCCCAATACATCAGAGAAAAAAAAAACAAAAACGTTATCACAATAAACCAAAACTTAAAATCTACAAACACGAAACTGAAGACCTACCAAATCCTCGGGGATCTGAATTGCCATTGTGATAAGATTGATTTTCATCATTTTCAGTGCCCCAGTTGCTGTAAGAAGTAATTATTACATATTGAAGAAAAGCATAGAAATGAATAAATCCTAAATGTTCAGTTTCCTCAGGAGGATAAGTTCTTTTTCCCAAGAAACCAGAGAATTTCAGCAGTTGGCTGCGTTCATTAAACTATCAAGATCTTTCCTAGTCACAGATCCTATGGATAGTCTTGGCACTAACCCAGTCACTAGCGTTCAGGTTCTACATTTGAATGAGTCAGAGACACTCCTGTCTCATTCAGATTAGAGAGAAGGTTGTGCTGCATGAGTGAGTTTGCCCATCACTGGGGAACAAACAGTGAGCACAGCAGGTCCTGAAGCAAGACAGTGGAGTATTTGGGAGATTCTTTCTGCACAATTACAATGATGTGTAGCATTAACCAAATTGTCCTGTTTATGGGAAGTGTGTGGTTTTGACTTATTAACTCTTTTGATTGTATTTCAAAAGCAATAATTATCCATTATTAGGATGCTCTGGAGATCTAAAGGAAGTTCTAACCACATTGAGTTTTCCTAAAATCTGTGGCTTCTCTACCCAGGTGGCATGCATACTCAAAATACAGCAAGCATAATTTCCTGTCTAGGTTCCACTAGCAGTTTGAAAGAGCTCTGGAAAAAGAAAGATTAAGCTTGCCAAGTATCCGAGATCTCAGCCATATTTTTAAGGCTGTATGACAGTGAAGATGTTCCCACAGTAATGACTACATTTTTTTATTCAGTCCAACAGGATTTACACTCATCCACTTCTGTTTAAGCACTGTTAGCTAAATGTCATGTCTCGTTATATTAATACTTACTGTGTCAGTTCAAGTGTAGCTTTTCTAGAGAAGGTCCAAGCTGTTCTCTCAGTTTTATCTTTCGGGATATCATTTTTATCTTCATATCCCAAGAAATAGAGCGAGAACTTCATAGTAGGAAAGTCAAATTTTTGAAGCAGTCTAAATGGCAAGAATTATTTTGAAATAGTAACTTAAAAAGGTCATCAGGTAGCTTGCAAATAAACCAAGATGCTATCCCCATGGAAGAATTATTGCTGTGATTTTTTTGCCTTTCTGACTGTAGTCCACATCCTAAAATACCGACATTTTGAACTATCACATAGCAACATTACAGAACACATTACAAACCTACAAAAATTAGAATTATCAGATGCTTAGAACTGAAACTATCAGTAACTGAAGGGCAAAGCCAGGACAAAGGCTCAAGTTTTAAGGTTGCCACTCTGTTACTTGTCCACATTTCCTCAGGAAGATCTTTATGCTTATCCACTTTAAAATATCACCAAAAAATAAAAATATTTACTTTGAAATTTACTTCATTCTGGGGAGCAAACTGGCACCAGACGAAGTTTAAGAACACAGCAGGATTAAAAAATGGACATACCTTAAAATGAAATATTTTTACAATTTCAATAGCTAGGTATAATTAAAATCCACTTCAAACGTGACAATTTAATCAACTAAAACTTTCTTTAAGTAAGAAAAAGCTGCTTATAAAATTTATCCCTTTGCTAGATGTATGAAGTCACCCACTTTCCTGTGAAATATTTGATACATCTCCATTTTTACCTAATTTCTGGAGATGGCGTGGAATACTTCAAACCATTTTTATGTAGGGCGTTTAACCAGAACAAGTAGGCATGCAAAACAAATCTAATTTCCTTTTCAGCTTACTACGTTTTTATTCTCTTACACCCACGTCTTCACTAAAGTGGAAGTAGTTTATATTACTTTAGTCTGGACTCATTTCCAGATGTTTAAAAGTATGCTACAATTTTGTTTTGAAATAATGTATTTCAAATGTCAAGAACACACAAAGAGCCTTAGCATAAACACGTTAGGCTACTGCAGGGCATCTGCCTCCCACAGCCTTCTCCAAAAGACTGAGTCTTGCTTCCTGCTTCCATTGCCTTGATCTCTTATGACTGGAGGTGGTCCTAAGTCACTTCTGAGAACGGGTAGAAAACTTAATTTCATGATTTAGAGCAATAACTCCTGATTACGAGCACTGTTGAAAAGTTAACAGTTAGCTGCAGGCTCAGGGAGGAGGAAGTAGGCAAGTTGTACACCAATAATTAATGACCTATTTAAGAAAAAAAGAAATTTCTAGTCAAGGCCAGTATTAGTTTATTTGCAGCTGAGGCATTAATTGTGCTGTGTCAGATTGCCAGACTGTCCAACAGGGCATCAGCTGATGGGCCAGCATTGTTTATGTAGTTAGACCAATTAGTATAATTACATCAAAATAACAAAAACTTTTCTTTCCAGAAGAACAGTAGGAAAAAGCAAACTTATTGTGGCAAATAACTTCTACTCACGTCATTCCAAGAACTCTTGTATAAAAATCCAGTGACTTCTTAGGATCCTTTACTCTCAACATTGTCTGCTGGAACAAAAAATCCTGAGGGAAAAAAAAGAACCAAAATTATGAGTATTAACAAAGATGCCACTTAATAATGAATCTAAAACTAGCAGGTTCAGAAGTAACAAATAGAGTACGACATTAAGTGTTAAATAAACCCTTTTCTTCTGATCCTACACACACAGATTTGTGTTAAATCAATATGCCTTTGTAACATAACGTTTAAAACAAATAAACAAAACCATCACTGGTATCACTCAACATATATTATCAGCGATATCAAAAAAAAAGTATCATTCTTATCTCTATTATTCTTTTATGGAGCTATAGGGCACATGATCCACTTTGCACGCAAGCGCACTAGGCGCGTGAATATTTGGTATGTAGCCTCACTGCAGGCACAGAATTTAAATAAAGCTGAACTCCTGAACTCATCATATTTTTTATTTCATTCCACAGGCGTTGAATTTCTGTCAAGCTTGGTCTCTTGGCAGCAAAACCAGCCTGCAATTCTGTACGGGCACTCTCCTCCTCAATCCACTGGGCAACTTTATATTCCAACGGCTCCTGAACAACTAAGTGGATGAAAAGCGAATGACAAGGTAACTTTGACAGGCGTATTTAAAAAAACAAAACAAAACAAAAAACCAACAAAACAACAGATGTACAACAACTGAAGCGCAATTACGAGGTTCTCCTAATAAAAAATTAAAGTGTTTGGAGTGTGTTGGAGGATTTTTATTTTTTTTTTGCAACCCTGGCACGTGCCGGCCGAAGAACCACCCCCGGAGCGCCCGGTCTTCCCGCGGCCGAGCGCGGAGCGGGCACCAGTTCTGCTCAGCTCCAGCCCGACCCACGGCCGGGGCACCGGCAGAGGCGCCGGCCGGGCTGAGCGCGACACGGGACCGGGGCTGACAACGACCGGCCCAGCGGATCCGCCCGTCACCACGAAACGTGACACCGAGCCCGGCCGGCCGACACCGGGACGGT